AAAAGAAAAAAAAAAAAAAGAACAGAAAAAGACTTGAACAGAAAAAGAACAGAAGAAGAAAGACAGAAAAAAAAAAAAAAAAAAAAAAAAAAAAAAAAAAAAAAAGCAGAATGCAGTTTTCCCAAGTCATTTAAAGTAGATATTTACTTAGATTTATGAGATATTTACTTGGATGTCAACACTGGAGTTCAAATAAAAGTTCATTATAAGTATGCTAATCTGGGAATTAAAAGAAAAAATTTTGTAAAAATGCACTTTTTTATTTTAAGTTTAAAAATGTCATTTTCTATGCAGTAAAATCTAAAATAATTTTTTTATAAAACTTTGTCTTTGTGAACTGCTGTTCATATGCAGTTAGCACATGTCTCAGTTGCTCAAATTCTTCACAAAATATAACAACGTTTTTGTTTTCAGCTTTAACATATTAACTTGATTGCTCGATATTGTAAGCAATGAAAGGCAGAAACTATCTAATTGAATCTGTACTTTTTTTTTTCAAACTTTTTTAAGTTCACAAAAAACATAATATTAAAGTAAACAAGTACAGTAAATTATTTGTTAACCAAAAGCCAAGTACTTTATCAAATAATTTTTTGCTATTTACTGAAATTTATTTTAGTAAACGGCATAAACTTACAGAGAACAAATTAAGAGCAAGTTTAGAAATAGTTGGGTGTAGAGTTGGAAACAGATTTACCATGACACATATCATACAGGTCTTGACCGCTAGTAATAATAATAATGCTGACACTTAGAGATTAATATCAATGCTTATATGCTGCAATAAAGAAATGTTGGCTATGTTGGCTCAGCTGAGAACTGGCGTGGATTTTGAGGGCTGTATTATCACAGCACTACTTAAACAGTATCAATAAAGTTTCTAAATAAAATATTAGAAATCTAGGCATTTTTATGAAGGACTTTATGTCAGTGGTATAATCAAACATTTGAATACATAGGTGACGATATTAAATTTTGCATGTCAACCAACTGAAAGTTGGTAACATTCTATGTGCCTGTAATAATGACTTTGAGCAAAGCAGTATGCTTGCAACAACAAAAATAAATTAAAAAAAAAAAAAAAAAAAAAAAAAAAAAAAAAAAAACACTTTTAAATATTTTTTGTAATATGTTATTTGAATTTTTATATGTTTTTTAAGTTCATTCATCTTACTTAAAGTACAAAGAGCATACAATTTTATTTTTATTTTTATAAGCTCATTTAACTCACTTAAGTGCATATAAATTTATTTATGTTTTTATAAGCTCATTTGTGTTTTCTGAAACATTTATCTGTTATAATGGTGTAGGGGATTAGGCAGAAGATGGAATGGTATCTGAGCCTTTTCACTTATTTCTGTAAATTCTTTTGTACAATTTTTAATAATTTTGTTTCTAGATTTTCCATGCTTTAACTATTTTTTTGAGATTAGATTTTTTTAGTTGTTTTAACAATATAAAGAGCTTGTGTAAAACAATTTCGTGACGCTGTTTTATTGCTATTTTATACAACTTTAATAACATAAAACACGTTTAAAATTAAACAAAGTAAATAAATAAAATTGTTTTAATAATAAATTAAAATATTATCGTCATAAAACTTTAAACTTCATTTTTGCACAAAAACATTTATAGATCAAACAAGTAAGATCAAAGCAAAAAAACTTTAGATACCACGTTTTTTATAATTTAATGTTTCTTGATCTACCTTACAATTAAAAATTTAAGTATAGTTAAGTTTTTCATTCAAATGGTTTTTAAGTCGATGTTAAAAATTAAAAAGCCAAGCAAACAAATTTGGTTAAATCGAATTATATTGCCTTAAGAATATGCTTAAATTATTTTTTTTAGAAAAAATTTACTTTGAACAGAAGTAAAATAATTTATTAATTTTAATTTTAATTTTTTATAAAATACTTTCTTTCAACTTTTGCAACCATAGATTTATCGTTTGAACAGAAGTAAAATAATTTATTAATTTTAATTTTAATTTTTTATAAAATATTTTCTTTCAACTTTTGCAACCATAGACTTATCGTTTGCAATAGAATGCTTCTACTTTTAAAACTATTTTCAAAAAACAAAATAAACTATTTAAAATGTTTATGATTTAAATAAAACTTTCTGCCTCAGTTACAATATGTTCTAAATCTGATATTGTTACTGTAGCTAGATATACTTTCCACTTTTAGCAACAATTCTTGCTATGCTGGGTATTACGGGCTGAGTATTACGGACTGGGTATTACGAACGCCAGTGAATTAAATTTATAATTATTGAGCATTAAAATTCTTTTTTATTTTTCTAATTTTTTTAATTCTAAATTTTAATCGCAAAATTATATGAATAATAGAATTTTAGAAAAATTCTATTATTCATACTAAAATTCTTTTGTTCAAATAGATTTCTTTTTAAATAAAATTCCTAAACACAACTTGTGTGTTTATAAAAATGTTTGATCATGATATCGCTTTAAATAAAATACAGAAAAATAGTATCACATTTTTAATATTTTAATCGAGATTTCTTATTAAAATAATTTTTAGCTAGAAGCTTATAATGTGTTAACAACATAAAAGATATAGAAACATTTATATGGCTAATTTTTGCAAGTCTTTGAGTATATTAAGTAAATTTAATAGTTGAGTAACTGTAAGTTACTGTAGTAATTGTAAGTTACTGTAGTTACTGTAAGTTATTGTAGTAACTTAACTGGTTGTTTTGATTTAGTTTAAAGGTAAATTTATTGTGATGTACTTTGTCCATTCAGTAAATCAAAATAAAGATTACTTTAAAAAATATTGGCCTCCATGCAGAGATATAAAGTAATTTAAATTCAAAAGCGCTTTATGTTGAATAAAAATCACTGCGCAAGAGAGCAAAGATTATACTTCTATCCAAAAGATAAAATTGTGAGTGACATACTTTATGATCCTTAATAAAAAAATTAGACAAAAACAATACTTTTAAGAATGGCCAAAGAAAAAAGCCAAATTAAAAATAAAATAATAACAAAAAAATAAACAAATCACAAAAATATTTTTGTTAAGAAAAAACTAATCGCAAAGGTGTGAGTAGCAATCACAATACGCAAAATTAGAGCCCTGATGTGGTATTTTACAATTATTACTTTGTGTTTTATCAAGCATAAAAACAATAGATGGCAGATGATTTAATTTTAACTGCAACACAAATGCTATAACCAGACCTCAACATGAACATGAGGCTCTTCAATTCTGGATGGTCAACTTAGTACAATTAGTTGATTTTTTTACTGACTTGTTTTAAAACATAATCCAAGAATAACCCTGACTTTTTTTAACAACAAAAAATAAGATTCAAATAAAAAATTTTATTTCTTTTTTAAGTTAAAAATTTACATCTATTAATTTATTTAAAAACAATTTTTTTAAAGAAAAACGCACATTTTATCTCTTGCTTATTAAAATCATTTCAAAAACTGCTAATGTTAGTTAATAATAATGTTATTAACTCTAGTTCGCAGGTACTATTTAAACTGAATATTTAATCCTAGAAAGACAATTGTTTTAAGAAAACCAATATAAAAATTACTAATATTACATAAGACGATATGTTTACAAATATATATATATATATATATATATATATATATATATATATATATATATATATATATATATATATATATATATATATATATATATATTTAATTGTTCTAATATAGAAAAAAAGGCAAATGCGCAATGAGTAATTTTTAATTCATCAATAAATCATTTATTTGCAACTTGCTGCAAAACTTACGAAAAAATAAAAAAGATTTATAGAAAAATAAAACAAACTAAGTGAAGTTAAAAAAAATCTTAGTCAAATACAAATTTGTTATATATTAAAATATTATTATTAAAATATTATATTAAATATTTTTATTAAAATAATGATAAAAAAGAACTTCAATCATTTATGAAAAAAAGATTTTTACCACCAGTTAAGTGAAGCAAAAAACTAAATAGATATAATTTATGTCCTGTATAATAATTATGCTCTAGATGTTAAACATTTAAAAACTGTTTATTTTGTTTTATAGAGATTTTTGAATTTAAATAACTTGCTAGCTAAATGTGACTCAAATGTTTTTATAAAATTATTAGCGTCACAGCTGCAACTAATTTGGTAAAACTGTAAAAAAAAAAAGTTTAAACTACAATTTAAAAAAATTAATTTTTAGCTAACTCTAATTATGTAAGCAATATGTCAGTAAATCAATTTGATTTTTGAACAACTAATAGTCTCATATCTAGCTTTTCACTGGTCCTATAATTTGAGTTGCTAATGATGTGTTAATGAGCTCACAAAATGTTTCAATGTAGTCACAACTGTTTTGTTAGTCACAGTCAGGTGATGAAATGATTTTAGTACAGGTAAATTAAAGGAGTGCATAACAGGTTGAATGGCTGTGCATAACAGATTGAATGGATGTTAACAAGCTTAGTTAAACAACTTTTTCTTAGTCACTGATTCCTTAATTAAGAAGATACAGGAATAGAAGTCTGCTACATGATCATATCAGTATTGTAAAAAAAAGTGAACATCCAAAATTAAACTTAAGGTACAATCCTAATAAAAAAACCTAATGCAACAAATATGTGACCCTTATGTCATATCAGGCTCACAAAGACTATATATTTTTAAATGATTAGAAATTTTAACTACCTGCAATTAAATAAACAAGGTTATAATAGTACTGGCAACCATAAGTTTTTTTTTCTTACTATAATAATAATAATTAAAAAAAATAATAAAAAACTAAGCAAAACTATAATAGTATTAAAACTGCAATAAAATTAGTATAGCATAAATTTGGATACAATAATGCAGAATATAGACACAAATTAAAAGCAATAGCAATTCAAATATTGCTGACTGTATATATTTTTAATTACTCATGGAAAGGTTGTATACAACAAATACTACCTTGTATTTGTATGCTATTTAAGTAAATTTAACCTTTTCTGAATTACCTTCACTTTCTTTTTAAGTTTTTTGTTAGGAACAGGCTTGTCATTATCATCCTCCCCATTGAGCTTACGTTTACGTGCAGCAGCTAACATCATAACAGTCATTTTTTTACTATTCTTTTTTGTATTTTGAGCTTTCTTCGCCTTGTCTTTTAATTTTATCTTTTGTTTTTTTCCTAAATTAATAAAATTCTGCTGTTTTAGTAGTTATAAATTTACATTTTATCCCACAATGGGGATAAAATGTATCTCAACAAATCTTATACTTGTTTGTGCATTGTTTTTTTTTTTTATAAAAAAGGCTTGTTTTTTAAAACTTTAATCTTTTTGTGAATAATCAATATACAATCATCAAACAAAAATTTTATTTCTAGATAACTTGTTATTTAATTTATATATATATATATATATATATATATATATATATATATATATATATATATATATATATATATATATATATATATATATATATATATATATATATATATATATATATATATATATATATATATATATATATATATATATAATTGTATAATAATTTATATATATAATTGTATATTAACATTGATAAAAACTATATGTTTTTTAAAATAAATTTTTAAAATCAATAATTTATTTAAAACAAAATTCAAATGTATTTATTTAAAATTAAAACTCTAAAGTTAATTTAAAAACTAGAAGTTAAAAAAAAAAAAACTACTCTGCAAAACATAGTTAAGGAACTCATAGTTACTACTAAACTAAATTTTCTGCACTTCTAAAAAATACAGAAACTAAATTTTCTGCACTTCTATAAAAAATTTTTATGACTTTCAAAAAAAAATATTAATGAGCAAAAAGTTAGGAAAAGTACAGGGTGCACTTTCACAAAACTTTTGTAAGTCAAAAATTTGTGTAAGTTTGGCATAAGTTCTAAACAACCTAATTCACAAAACTTTTACGCTTGCTTACAAATAAATTTGCAAACAATTTTTCGTAAGTTAAATGGTATTCACAAAACATTTTAAAAAAATGCTCAGCTCAATTTAAGCAAGAAAAGTTATGTTAGGTAGGTGCTACCTTAACTTTGTCGTAACTATTTGTGCAGCAAACCTATGTTGATTTATTTATTATGATATGTGAAGATTTAATAAAAACTTGTTTAATTTAACTATAACCACATTTATTATGCATTATCTATTAAAATGTTATTTAAGACATTGTAACAGATTAAAATGTTGTACTTAACAATATTTTAAATATTGTTAATTACAACATTTTAATCTGTTACAATTTTTTAAATATAACATTAAATATTATTTAATGTCATAACATTAAATAATTAACAACATTCATACAAAACGAAATTGTTATAAATTAAATGTTTGATTTATAACTGTCTTTTGAAATAATTACTACATACTCTGTCTATGCATTTTGAGTATTTTTTTATTGTAAGTGTAATAGATGCATAATTTATTTGCATGTTCGAAAAATTATGTTAATTTTTACTCTTAGAATAATGTCTTTCTGTGTTTCTAATAAAGGTATGGTAAATTGATGTAATTGTTTTGACAGTCCATCTACAATCTATTTTTGTAGAGGTGCATTGAGTGTTCAAATCTATAATAAAATATTATTTTGTGAACATTTCTTTGCAAATTCTGCATCAGGACTTACTTGTTACATCAAGACTACTTGTTGCATGAAGACAATTAGAAACAACAATTGTATTAATGGTGATAAAACAATATGTAAATAAGATAATATAAATGTTGGCTAATAGAAACTATTTATTGTTTTTGTGTATGTTTCTTTTTTGCTGTTGTTATTTGTTTCTACTCTAGAACAAGCATATTTAATAGATTTATATTCCTAATATTACTCCTCATATGAAATTTAATTAATTTATATTTGTTAAAGTATTAAGTTTAGAAGTTTTATGGTTATTAAAACATATTTATAATGTATTAACCTAAAGAATTAAGTTCCAAAAACTATATATTTATTTTCTATATATTTCTATTTATTGTCAGTTATATTTTTTGTTCAATTATTACTTTTATAAACATTAAAAAGAAGTTTTTAAAGAATATAAGTGGTTATAAATGACATTACTACAACTCTACATGATGGTTTTTCCCCATTGACAGCAAGAAATAACCCAATATATTCAGAATCAAAAGTGTTGATATTACTCAGACTCTTAGCAACAGGCACTTATCAAGGTGTAATTGGTAAGAAATTATTTTTAGCAGTTTTAAAATGTAATACAATTTTAAAATGCTATTATCTAATATTGATTGTATAATATCTTTATTATTATTGTTAGTATTATTACTAATAATATTCCTTTTCATTGTCATCTTATTATTATTGTTAATTTTATTTCTATAATTATAATCAATACTATTATTATTGTTATTATAATCACTTTTATTGTAATGTTGTAGGTTTTTACTTTAGATTAGTACTTGTACTATTTGTAAAAGTCCTTGAAATTTTACAACTTATTTCAGAATATATATTGAATTGAATTGAATTATTGAATCATATTTCGACTTACAACACCCGGATTAACTGTTGTTTAAACAAAAAATTATAAATGAAACTTTTTTTGTAGTTATAGTTTTCCGTAAACTAAAACCTTAAGAAACAGAAAATTTCTAGAATACTCAACCCTTGCAATAAAAGTAATCAATTAATTTAAAGTAACATCACTCAAAACCGAATGATTAATAACTTTTTTCCTCAGAAACAAACATTCAAACAATTACTTTTAAACTATCTTCAAACAACTTTAAAATAGTTACCATATTATAAAACATAAAAATTAAACACTTGTTAAACATTTTTTTTTAAATAACTTACTAAAATATTGAAACATTTACAAAAATTTCTAGTTTTCAAAACATGTTTAAACTTTTATACAATAGTTTCACCAATTTATTGTCTGTAGAGACCTAACTGTTTAATAAGATTGCTGCTTTAATAATACTTATTCAAAAATATCATAATGTAAAACAACTTGATCATAAGTTAATTTTAATAGGATCCCTAAGTGCCAAGACAAGTTGTGTTTATTTCTTAAACTTACTAAAACAACTTATATATAATGTAATACTTATTCATAAATATCATAATTTTAAGCAACTGGCCTAAACTATCATAAGTTAATTTTAAAGTAATAAAAGTCAAAATTTAAATTTTCTATTATTGAGAAAACTCTATATAGCTGAGATATATCTACAGTTGACACAAACTTATTTAATCATAATAATTTTAGTATTTAAAAGTAAATAGTTTTATAAATAAATAAAAAATTTCTCAGTAAATCATCAATATAAAGAGTAAATAGTGGATCAATTACTGGGCATTGAATTCAAATTGAATATTTAAGTGCATAAAATATTTTTTCAGAGCATAGGAGACAATGTATACACCAATAAAAACTTGAAAATATTTTATGAAAGCTAACAAGGCTTAAATCAAGTGATCACAAATTGTGATATCTGGAAATGCTTCAGGTCTTTCAACTTTTAGTTTTTTTTAAACTGTAAATTATGTTTTGATCACAAAACATAATAGTTGTTATTCAATAAAAAAAATATTTACATTATCATGGAATTATGATATAAAATCTCATTATAAAACCATATTAAAATATTATTACAAATTATGATTTAAATTATTTTATATATATTTTATAAATCATTGGATAAAACAAAAGACAAAAAACATATACAGTACAATGTAATATTAAAAATGAAACAACCAAAAATCACAACAGTCTAAAGAAATTTTGCTTTTTTATTTATAATAGTTGAAATTAACTGATGTATAAACAATCAATAAATTAAAATATGTAAACTTTTACTGATATTATTTTTACAGTTGTAAATTTATGGTATTGTTTTTTCACATATCTTTGCAATTATAATAAATTGACCTTTTCATTAAAACATTCAAGTCAAATACAAAGACCAAAAATTTTCCAGATTTCACAATTCGATATTAATAATTAAAAAATCAAAAATAAACTTTTCACCTTTTTTAAATGAATGTTCTTCTTCCTGCGGTTCATCCTTTACTTTTGATTGAATCCTTGCACTTTTACCTCGACTAGGATACATCACAACTAGCTTTTTATTAGCTTGGAGATGTTTTTTTTTAGGAGAAGGCATTCCAAAACTGAAAAAAAAAAAATAGCTTAATAAATATTATAATTTATTTAGCATTAGATTAATAAATTAATTATGAACTCTTTATATTGCTGAAATTAAAAACAGCAATATAATCTGACTTATACAAAAAATCATTGCTTTAATTGAGGATTTGTTTGGATTATAGAAGTTGGCTAAGTGATCAGTAAACCAGCTTTAGTTAAAGTGCTTTTCTTTTTTAATCTTAATGATTTTGGTTATTAAATTATTTCTATAATTAACAATGTAATTATTGTTTTAATTTTCTTGTCTTTTTTTGTTTTGTTTTTTTAATTGTTTAAAAGAAAAGCATTTTTCTGAGGACAAGATATCTTATACCTGCTAGTAAACTTCTTAGTGGGAGAACTGATTGAAGTACTATTTATTCATTTTATTGGCATCCAAGATTGTGAGCTCCACTCATCTAGATAAAAAACTTCAAGTCTGATGCAAGAATTAACAAAAATAACTGAAATGTCCTTAATCAAGATCAACGATTAAACATTTTATAATTTTTCTAACCAAATAAAAATTTTTAATCTATTTAAAATAAACCATAAAATATATATTATTTACCAAGTATTTACTATTTCATAATTACAATAAGAAATTAAAACTAAAATAAAAATTTCCTTGAGGACTGATAAGTTTATTAATATTAATATTAGCTTACACATAAAAAAATATAACAAACAAATTATCATTTTCAAAGTTTAGAAGAAAAAAGGGCATTTAAAAATAAGAAACTTTACACAAGAGGAAAAAATATGAGAAAAGAAATAATGGTAATAAAAAGAAAAAATCTAATAGATAAAAGAACGCTATTTACCAATATAACATTTTTTCTGAATAAAAACTCAGAATCTCTGATGTCACAAATTTGTCAGAAACTTAGAAGGTCGATATGTCCTATAACCTTTTGACTTGACCAGACAATCTGAGACTTTGTTTAACAATGTCTGACGATAAAGAAGGATTACAGTGCAACTGTCTGTCTTTCAAAGAAACAATACACACACCTAAGCAGTTATTAAAAAATATAACAAGAGAAGGATGAGGCAATAATATCTACAACTATATCAGCAATCGACTTACCTGATAGACCAAATAATGTCACCACAAACAAAAATATAAGAAATACACAGACACTGGCCCCGACAAAACATTAAACACATCAGAATTTCTTTGGCATTAGAACCTTTCATACAATACTTAATGTACTTGAAAGGTATCACAGGAGGACAACTTGATATTAAAAGTCAAAAGAATCTTGGAGAGCTTATTGTTATTATCTTGCGAAAAACTGTATGTAAAATTCCATGTTGTGGATAACTTAATGGCACCCGTAATTGTTAAAATGGACGTGCTAACACAATACTTCTTAATTGCTATAAATTTTAAAAAAAGCAAAGAACCACTACAATTTTTTTGTAGCAACAAAAAGCATGAAATCTATCATATGGACATTAATACTTATATTGACAAAATTAAACTAATTACTAAAACCTCACAAAAAGAACTTTTTTATAACAGATGAGACAAAGGATATGTTAAAACGAGAAACAACTCAGTAGTCTTTAGCACGATTGATGTTTTGTGATAAAAACAAAAAGTTGTCTTGTTGTCAATTATTTAAATAATCCAAAATTAAGTCTTTGGTACAATTGTTCTAATATAGGTGCATCATTAGGTTAAAATATGAACTAACGATTACATGCTAACAGCAATTAAAGTTAATGGTAAATTATATAAGTTTAGCAAGTTACAGATATTTTTTATTCAGGCTATTAAACGTTTATTTAAAATCTTTATCTATCGGTGGAAAAGAACACAATAGAAATCTTAGTTGTTACCAGGGGCTATTCTAGATCGTTTTCAACAGCATCGACTGTATTTGGGCACTGCCCAAACTAAAATTTGAAGAACTTCTTTTTTTTTTTTTTTTATGCCAAATATTGCTTTTTTGGCAAAAAAATTTGTAGATATTTGGCAATATTTCCGCTAAATTTCTCTGGGACATGGGAGGGATGGGGGGAGGGGTACTGTCACCCATATTTTTTTTTATAGAATAGCCCCTGGCTACATATACACAGTTAAAATTACCAACATAGAAATAGACAAAAAAAATTAACTTTAAAAAAACTCATATTCAATTCTTAGGCTATATTAATCTTTATGTATAATAGCAGAAAGGATTCCAGGACTACGGGACTCCAGGCTGAAAAATAATAGGTTTCAAGTCATAAAATCTCATGAATTTTTTTCTTTTTGCAGATCTTAAGTTACTCAACACTTTTAAAGCTCCTGGACACCAGAGACCAAAATAAAATAGAAATTTAAAGCCATAGTCATCTTGGGACTCTGAATCAATGCCTCTGACACAGCACTAGAAAGAACATTATTACAACTAGGCAAGCTCATGGCTTTCTTCACAAGAACATAAAAAAAAAAATTGCAATAGTAGAATGTTGTATAAGATGAAAAACAGACCAAAAGTCTATTTCTATTATTATTAACAAAAATGACTCAAAAAGATTAAAAATGAAAAACTGCTAGTATTTAGAATTAGCTGAAATTAGTTATGCAATTTCATACAACAGGAAACCAATGAATTTAACTAACTCATACTTGCTTGACTCTAGTTTTCTAGTAACTCCCAATTTAATAGTGGTTTCTAGCAGCCTTGTTAGGGGTGAATCAGAATAAATTTAAAAAAATTAAATATTCCAATAGATAAAAGTTTTAGTTTTCTTTAACAAAACAGATAAAGGTTTTAGCAATAGACAAAAGTTTTAGCTTGGATTGATAAAATAGATAAAACAATAAATAAAAGATAGCAATAGATAAAAGTTGATGTCAATAAATAAAAAAAACAATTTTAAAAACTTAGTTTGACCCTAAAAACATTAAATCTAGGAAAAGAGAAAAAGAATTAGCATTGCAAATGGATCTATCTTCTGTACACTCCCACTAATAAAAAAACACCCCACCAGATAAAGAAGAATTCTAATGCTCATCAATAATAGGTAGGGTTCTGCCAAACTTTTTAATAGAAAAAGATTTCACAATCTTATACAGACGTCAGGTACAAATAAAACATCTGCTCATTGACAAAATTCAACTGCAAGAAACCAACAACAGTTTTAATCTAACTAACAATCTATTTTGTAGTTTTTTATTGCCATTATATTTATTATCATTGATAAGTTCTGTTGTGTTATACCTGAAAAAACTGCCATCCTACTAAAGTACTGTGTAGTTTGTTTTTAGTGACACTTTGAAGTTATGTCTGTAGAGACCTAACTGCTGTTTAACAAGATTGCAGCTTGAATAATACTTATTTAAAAATATCATAATGTAAAGCAACTTGATCATAAGTTAATTTTAAAGGGATTCCCAAGTGCCAAGACAAGTTTTGCTCAATAAGTACCATAAACGGGGGTGATTATGAACGCTTTTGAAACATTTTTGTATCATAGAAGAAAACTATTAGCCTAATCGCTACCCTTTTTTTTGTAACAGAACATTATACTTTTCAGCTTCCTGAAATATTCCTAGGCCTGATAAGCACTATGCAGTAAATAATATAATAATGGTTTTATATGACCATATCCGTATTTCCAAAATGGGGTGAGAATGAACAGCCGGGATGACTTTGAACAATACATGATATTTGAATTTTTTTATTTTGTGCACATTTTAAGTTGCTCAAAGTCCATTAATTATAGTTTTCAGCCTCAAAGTGTTATTTAACTTGTTTAATGTTTTCTTTTTGAAAACTGTGAAAGTATAATAAAATAAAATATTGCCTGTACTTTGTTTAATACTCCTAGCTAATTTTTTTTCTTTTTTAACTTCGAATCATAGTTCCTAAAGTTTGCAGAAGAAAACTTAAATTAATTGACCATAAAATCTGAAAAAGACAAGTTATACCATAATTTATAGTTTTATTAGAGCAATATGCATTTGAACCTGATGTGGGCTAATTTTTATAAAGTTCTGATTAGCAGTTTTTAAGATATGCTATTTAGTTTAATTGCCCGAACCACAGAACCACTATTTGAGATGTTTAAAGTAGATGAAAAATAAATTTTTTGAGAGCAGCTAAAAATTAACTTCTTTTTATTATATTTAAGTCATCTGAATCAAAATAACACACTATTTAGTCATACCATGCACTATCCTTCACCAATTAGTAAACTTGGTATTGATGTTCATTTTCACCCCGTTGTTCATAGTCACCCCAGTTCATGGTAGTTTGTAACTATGAAGTTTTAATAAAAGTAAAACGTTTATTCAAATAAAATAAATAAATAATTTAATTATATAAAGTTATGATAATATTAACAACAAAATAAAAAATCACAATAAAAACCTAATAAAAACCTAATAAAAAAACCAAACAAAAAAATTTCAGTAATTAAATTAAAGATAATTTTCTTTACTATTGTATATACTAGCGAACATTTTAATTCTCTACAGATGAGAGCACACAAAGCTAAAAGATAATTTCATTTTAAGCCACTACTCTGCAACATTACCAAAACAAGTTTTAATTAATTTTATTTTACTTTTAATTATTAATAATCTAATACTATTGATGCTTGTAAATGAAAATAATTGCTGTGCTATAGGTTAAAGTAAATCAATAACATTTACAATAAACACACACAAATAATTTTCTTGTAGTCAATATTAATACTAACTGAGGGCGACAAGAAAACATATTTTTAATAGATACTTATAACTGTTTAATAACTTGCAAAAAAAAAAGTTAAAAAACTCTTTTTTAGCTTTATCAAATGGCCATAGTTTAATTTTATTTTTAAACTTTGAGAAAAATGTTAAAACCAAAATAAAGTTAAAGTTAAAATAAAAATGTCAAACTAAATAAAGCAAGATTCAAACAAATTGATATTGAACTTGAAATGTTAAATAATTTTAATACTATTAAAAAGGTTACCACAAATACTTATATTAAAACATTTATAATTACTCTACAGACCTGAGATAATAGTAGAAAAAATTCAAGCTAGATTTATTTTAATTTAAAATTTTATATTGTATCCATCTTTTCAAGTGTCATAAACAATGTAAAAACTATAGACTAATCCAAAATCATTCCAATTCAAAATCAAGTACTTATTGGAAATTATATAAAAACAAAAACAAAAAATCTGGTAAAAACTAAATCAATGTTTATGTTTACTGCGCCATGTTCAAAAGTGCGCCATTTTCTTGTTGTCCCCATTTTGTAAAATGGCATCTTAAAAAAAATAATAAACCAACTAAAATTGAAATAACAATAATATTATCATCTTTTTACCAAACATTTTAACTTACTTGAAAAATTTACTTCAAATAACACCGAATATAAATATCATTTCCGATTTTAACCAAACGTGGAACAAAATTCACAAGGCGTTTTTCTTAAAATAACTGAAGTCACATCAGTTCTATAAAGTTTCTTTCACGCATCGTTTCCTAAAACTAATGCATAATTATGCAAGTTATAAATTAAAACATAAAAAGAAAACAATTTATAAAAGCATAATTAGTGGTCTTTTGTATTATTTTATGTTGCGCGAAGTACTGCACTTTAAAAAGTCATTCCAAAAAGTTTTAAATATTTTTAAAGCCTCATTCAAATATTTCTAAAGTTTATACATTTTTAAAAAATATTTATAGTTTTTAATAATGCTTAAGCAAGTTATCTAATCTGATTTGGTGGAATAGGAAAGAAACAAAATAAGTCACTTATCTCGACCTCCAAAAAAAGCATATTTGCATTTATTTTAAATAAAATGAAAACAACTTCTTGGCATTCGAATGTTTATTGTAAATTTTACAATAAACATATGAATACCAAGAAGTTATTTTCATTCTTTGCAAACATATAAGATACCCATTTGCAAGCGCGCTAAGCCCGAGTAAATTGATTTTGTAAAAACGGCAAAAACTAAACTACTTTTAAATACTCATCAACAGAAGTTGTTACTTTTCTTATCAATTTTTAGGGCAAAAAAATTTTCAATTGGTCTAATATTTAAATAGATGATTTTAGTATATAGAATGTGGAAATGAAATTAAATCAAAATTTCTATTTTCGCGATTTAGCGCGTTTTGCAGATGATATGTAAACATACAAGAAGGCTAACGTGAAAAAAAAACTTTCAGTTTATTAGCCAACTTTGTATAAAAATTAATTGGCTTTTCAACCTTCTACAACGTGATGAAGTTTTAATATTAAAAAAGTAAAAAAAAATTGCTCATTTTGATTGGACATAAACTTATTAACTTATGTATAACAATTAACTTTGCTTTATATATATTATTAAAGAGCGAAAAGATTTTTTCTATAAATACTTGTATTCTTGGGTCTTTATAATTAACTAAATTACTTTTGCATCATAGTTTTAAAGCAAAGTAATATATTTTATTGTTTTCAAGCAAAGTGTTAAGTTTTATTGTTTTCAACCAAAGTAATGTTTTAATGTTTTCAAACAAAGTAGTATGTTTTAATGTTTTCAAGCAAACTAAGGGATCGTCCATAAAGTACGTATGCTCGGCGGGGAAGAGTGAGTCTGCAAATGGCGTATATGAGATGGGAGGACAGAAGGTTAATTATACAAGTAAGGAGACACTAAGTTAAAAAAAATATAATTAAATGTTGGGTAGGAAGGTTAAAAGCGTATGTATTTACGGACGTGAAGGGTACTCAAAAAACCGTATAACAAAATATGGAGAAAGGAAGGGGGGCAGGGCGTGGAGATCGAAATAAAAGCGTACGTACTTTATCGACGATCCCTAATATGTTATAATGTTTTCAAGCAAAGTATTATATTTTAGAGCAATTCCACCGTTACTTACGGGACATTTTGATTTTTGTAATGTCACATTTTTATATAAATATTTTTTATTTTCACAGATTAGATGTTTATACATTTATGAATCATCCCAAAATTATTTATTTGTTTTCCTGTATATTGAAATTTCGTTCAATTATTATTAGTTTAGGAATCATAATTAATTATATGCTTACTTGCTGGACGCAAGTTTAGGAATCATAAATAATTATATGCTGTGTTACTTACGGGACGCAAAAAAACATTGCATTAGCCCTGTTGTTTTCAGTTGAATATTTCAAGCAAATAATTAACCTACATAAACTGGCTTCTTAAATTAAATTAAGTAGTTATTATTCTGCATAAAATTATTCGAAAGACTGTTTTAGCTATTTATTTATATATCTTAAATCGATTAGTTATCGTTACTTACGGGGACAATTATACGCTTTTATCAAAATGTAGTTTAGCTACCATTTATATAGAAAGTATGACGCATGACTTTGTTTCCAAATTTAAGACAAAAAAATAACACAAATAACATTATTAATCAAAATATAAAATTAAACATATGGTAAGCCAATGATTACTTGGTTTTTGTTTGAATATGTTTATTCATTTTATCAAAATAACTCACTTGAGCGTGGAATTGTCCTTTAATGTTTTCAAACAAAGTAATATATTAAAATGTTTTCAAGCCGAAAAAAGAAAGACTAGAGACTTTTTTTCTCTTGAAAAGCTCGTAAAGTAAACAAAAAAGTTTAAAAAAGAGAAAAGTTAATATTTTAAAATAACAGATTAAGTAAAAAGCAATCCATCAGAACAGCCTGCTGAAGATATAAAATTTAACGCAGCCGTGGTGTAGAGGTTAGAGTTCTGACTTCAGAACTGGAGGTTCGTGATTCGAAGTCAGCTCTGGATATAAATGTATCATTGGTAAGGAATGAGGTGTGAACTTCCTGGTTAAATGCTTTTCCGCGGTGCTATGATAAGACTGTTAGGAATTTTCATAACACCTAAATAACAAATAATGATAATGAAAAAAATATATAAACAATGATCTATTTCCAGTTCATCAAAATTAAATTTTTCCTTATATAAATCAACTTTAATTAAACATGACGACTTTATTTCTCTTTTTATTTCCTAGTGTTTAACAATTTAATGTGTAACAGCATTTGGTTGTTCTGTTAAGAATCAGGGCTGTGGAGTCATAGTCGTGGAGTCGGAGTCAAGACATTTGTAACGGAGTCGGAGTCATAATCGCTAAACAAAATCGCGACTCCAACTCCAATAGTAAAACTTCTCGGTATTGCACGTGCTTGTACAAAATAATTAATTTCGATGAATTTTTTATATATTTGGCTAAAAAAGATTTTTTTCATTGTTACGTAATATTTTTTAAAGAATTCAAAGAATTTTTCAAAACTTTGTAAAAAAAAAAATTCTTCGAAATTGGAGTTGGAGTGGAAGTCGGAGTTATACTCTAAAAATTTCAACGACCGCAGTCGGAGTCGGTACTTTTTTTTTTACGATTCCACACCCCTGTATAGAATGTTAATCTTGAATACCTTGATGAAAACATAAATGTATTTTTGAAACAATTATTTATCAAAAGTGTAACGTGTGAAATCACATGCCGTAAAACGGGGTAACTGATAGGATTTTGGGCATTTTTGCTAAATAACTCTCATAACATTTTTTTTTTTATAATTTTTTTTACTGATGTAACATTATACCTTTATTTTATAGGATTCCATTATTAAAAAAATTTCTTTCCTACTATATTTTTATTAATTCTTATTAATTTAACTTTCCTCACAAGTGTCATTGATAGTTTTTTTTTTGGAGTTTTACTAAATTAGAAAGTAATATAAAAACAAGTTTGTAACTTTTCACTGGTAAAATTATCAATTTAAAAATAAATTGGGTTATCAAAGGTTTCATGTGTAAATATAATGTTCTAGAGTAGAACCAACTAGATTTTGAGTTGTAGAATAGATTTCCAGGAGGGCCGCCGCTTTGTCTATTATTTGTAGCAGTTTGCATCGTTATAAACAACCATGAGAGTAAGAAACTGACTCGGCATTTTCCTACAGTACATAGTACACTAATCAATATATTTTTTTTTTAATTGCAATAATATTACAATTTTATTGGCCAATATTGCCAATAACTTGCAATGGATTGGCAATATATTGGGCAATAATATTGCAATATTGACAATAAAATTGTAATAATATTGGCCAATATCTTGGGCAATAATCTCGCAATAAAATTGCAATTATATTGGGCAATAATCTCGCAATATTGACAATAAAACTCTTTGCAATTTTATTATCGTCTAGCAGCAGCACTGAAAGTTGACATTTGAAAGAAACATTTATGTACACTTTCAATTCATACTAAATTCGAATTTTAAAAATTAAATAAACAACTAAATTTAGAATAAATAAGATGGTGTATTTATTTAACACACAAAACATACAAAACACATTACAGATAGAATGGGGGGGGGGGGGGGGATAAGCGAAAAACGCTGACAACCCCACACCACAAGAAAAATGTCACTCATTTGTTTAGTCTTCAAACTTTTGTACTACTTTTATTGTCTCGGAAAAATTGATTAATACTCGCCCAAACAACACGCCAGTTGTAAGACGTAAACACTTTGTCAAGTGCACCTTTAACTTCCTGAATTTCTTCGTTCTCCATTTGAATGCGTGCAGTAGGTCCGTTTGGTTCACAAATACGCGTGCAAGTAAACTCCTTTCCGAATCGCAACAAAATAAATTTTCTTGCAAAGCTACATGGTTCTCGTTTTTGAATGTCGTGCAATTTAAATTCGGCATCAAAACCAGTATACACGGCCTAAAAAGTATAATACAGATAAGTTCGGATTTAGTAAACATTTTTCAATGGATGGTCAAATTATGCAACCTTTTGTATATAAATGTACCTTTCCTTTAGCAATCAATATTCTTTTATTCAATTTGGTAAATACTAGCAAGTTGTGCTCTCATTGGATGAGCTTTTTTTAATTAAATTACAAAAATTAAATTGACTTACATTATCATTATTTACAGATTCTTTTTCTATTGGGCGCAAAATTTCAGACAACAGTTTGTTGGTCTTCTTTTGTTCAAAAAGAAGTTTCTTTTGTTCAATTAAAATTGCTAATGATAAAAAAAATATATAGCACTTCTATGTACAAGAACAATATGGTAGAACTTAGGCAAACACAGTATTCATACTATAGGACTGTAACTAACCTTCTAAACAAGATAGTTTGCTTAACTTCGGTGAACCACAGTGTTTTGTTTTAGGAACATCACTAATTATTGGAAGCATCAATGCTCTGGGAGCATCAACATTGTCAAGTAGCATGTCAAGCTTCCGCTTTTCCAAAGCCATAATCTGTGCTTCACTTTTTTAGATCCTTTTTGACTGTTATAAAATGATGCAAAGGACTCTGATTCTATAAATGAAAAAGACAATAAAAATATGTTCAAGAAATTACATAAACAAAATTGTAATATTATTAAAATTACCTGAATTTTCATTCAACACTTCATTTACATGTTTTTTTTTCAGCACCTTTGATTTATATTTAGGTTTGAGTCGATTTATATTTAGGTCCGTTTAGGCCTGTATGTTCTGAGACCGGTGCAATATTCTCTGAATCTATAAAAAAAAACATGAACAAGTTGTGGTTACAAACATATAATCATGGGTGTACTAGGGGCTAGGCTACTAGTGGATCCAATAGATCCCCACCTACCATCGGATAGTGCAACTTTAACTTGTGTTGATAATTTTTGTGTGAATTTTGTGTCATTTTTTATTATTTAGCAAAAATGTTTAATTAATTATTACTTGTGTAGCAGACATAATAACTAAACTCTGTCTGGTAACAAAGGTAACCTCCTTTTTTTTGACCCAGGGTGCTATTGCACTCCGGCACCATAGTCCAGTTCACCACTACACAGAAGAGTAAATTTTAAATAAAATTACTATAATATTGTCTTGTCATTGTCACATATTTATATTACATAAGTTACCTGAGGATTGGTCTCCATCAGAATGTTTTCTTTTTCCGTCAGTATTGCCTTCAATATAATTGAGGGCAAACTTGCTTACTTCATCAGTGCTAGGATTTTAGCACTGATGAAGTAAGCAAGCATTTTCTAGCAATGTTTCAAATTTACAGCATTGGGTAATAGACCCCTTATAGATGATGACAGCTGCGTGTTGTATATTTGCAATAGAAACATGCACTACATTTTTCTAATAAGTAAAAAACATTAAATTTAATTATCAACACACCATAAATAGTATAATAAAAGCAGGGGCTTCCATTTTTCAACATCCCTAAAAAGTGGGCATCTAAAATACTTCTTCCATTTTAGGGTGGGCTTCTATATATTCAGCTATGTAAAAAAACAAAAAAAACATTTTTATCTTATTCGTGGGCATCTAAAATACTTGCTTCTATTTTAAGGTGGGCTTCTATATATTCAGCTAATAGCTGATATATTCAGCTAATAGCTGGTATGTAAAAAAACAAAACAAAATTTATCTTCTTTGGCAATTATAGGGAGGGGGGATAAAATTTAAGGGTGGACTTTAATTATATTATGTATGGTAAATGCTGTCAGTTTTTTTTAGCACACTTACCACTTGAAATTCAAGGCATTCAACGGATGAATAATGGTTAAAAAGTGTATTTGAAAGTGATATGGGAGAGGTATGTCGCTCATCTTTTTCACAATCCTTGTACCATAAAAGAACAAACGTAGAAGCAAGCTTTTGAGTGTCTACAAAATCTAATTTCTTTGTTCTATTTCTATCAGGGTAAGTCATTATTTAATAAAATATAAACCTGTAAAAAAATTCAATCAAATTATCAAATTATTTTAAATCAAATTATCAAAATATTAAAAATAAAAATGTTTGTTAGTATAAAAAAACACACATGCATGATGTGAAGCATATTTATTAATTACAAAATTTACATTTAGCCACCCTAAGCATATGCGAAAAGTTCTTTCAATGGTGTCAAAATTAATACATCTTTTGTATCTAATTTACTTTTAATTAATATACATTTGCAGACTAAAGTGTCAGCTGAAATAACAACAATGTTTTTTGTTTGTTCAACAATAAAAAAAAAGTCATAATCAAAGTTAATTTCCAAATTTCCAACCATATCAACAAAAGTAGAAACTAACTTACACTTCACATTCAATAGTTGTAACTGAACATGTATTACATTGTCAACTAAAGGAAAATCTAATATGATACCAAACTTATTATGTCCAAATTGACAAGTGTAGCTGTTATGTTTGCCATAACCTTTTGAATGGTAAACAATACCATGTTTCAACAATCTGCCCGGATTTAACAACTGCAATTCTTCTTGTTCAATAATGCCAATATTTAATGCTTTACAAACTTCAACTTTTTTAGGATGATCTGTTGTTTGCAAAAAACAAGAAGCTGTTTTGAAGTCAAGAAATTTTTGTACAATCTGTTGTGGATGACCATGTGTTCCCTTCATCATTTTTTTATAATTACTTAGCCGAGCTTCAAAACAAAACATTGAGTAATTTGTAACACTTCCATGCATTTTAATAATATCGCTAACATGACCAAGCAAATGAACATTTATAGTATTCATATATAAAGGAAGCAACTCAGACAATGATTTTTGATAAAAGTTAAACAGCTGACTAATAAGCAACACCTTATCTAAACATATTTCACTGCTACACAAACGCATACCAATTACTAGAGAATAAATCATCATCATGCAGTCAGGATTCAAATATGGTAAAAAATATGGAACTGCTAAGTATAAAATAAAGTTTTTAAAGTCATGGCCTTTCCAATGTGTGAATGATTTAATAGTTAATAGCTTGGGCATGTTATGTGGCATTTTTTGTTCAGCAAGTAAGATTTCCATAGCATTTAATTTTGCACTACCAATAAAAAATGATTTGTGTTTATTGGTAACAGAAAATAAACAAACTAAAAGCTTTTTTGAGCAATTTTCGTAAAACAAATGTAACACATCAATAAGTATCATATCTGGCACTTTAATAAATGAAATGTCACTAAAGATGTTTGAGCCTTTAATTCCAAATACAGATACTTTTGATTTTTCGGCTAATCTAGCATATATGGCATACACTTCAGATGTTTTAAGATTATAATTTGTATCTGAATGTGAATAAATTCTAGCGGAACCATGTTTTCTTTCAATTGTTCTACCAGGATGTTCGCAATAGTGACATCCAAATTCACCATTATACTGCTTATGATTGATGATTGAAGCCACTGCAGGCAAATCGAAAACAAAACCAACAATATGAATAACTACTTGGATATTGTTAATTTCAAGGGGTGTTTCAAACAGTTTTCCATTGATGTACTCCTAAAAAAAAGTTAGTAATATAGTAACGTTGCCCAATTTATTCTTGTCACGGCTGGAACAGTGAATTCTACTACTATAGGTAATTCCATTGACAACTACTTTTAAAATAAAAAATAACAATCAATAATTTAATTACCTTTAAATAAGCATTCCAATTAGGTTTTAATAATGAGAACCATAAACCAAGAAGTAGTGTATTTTCAAATAGGAATCGTTTATAAGATGGTAAATCTAAAATAATAGCATGAAATGGCCACATTGTAATCTTTTTTTTTGTGTATGGTTCTCCACCATCTGTTGACATCAATAAATGAATATGTAAAACATTTGCAGACTTCATATTTTCAACAAAATTTGGTCTAGAAATAAAATCACTCTTTCTTTTACCTGACATAATTTCCAATTGATATGATTTAATTGCATCCAAATTCAGAAATAAAACAAGTTTCATTTGGCTAATGATATCCAATATAAAGATATGGGATGAACAATGAGTATTTATTTTACACGTGTCAACTAAAGCTGTGCAGCAATTATGACAATAATATTTATGCGTTGGTTCAGTATGGGAGAATATATTTTTAGTAACAAATCTACGAATCATTTTATGAGATGACGGCATGTCATTTATACAGCGAAAAATCTATTAAAAAAATTTAAAAATTAAAAATATATTTTTTCAAGCTTTATCAACCAAACTAAGCCTGGGCCAGACCCCAGCCTCAAGTTGAAATAAAAATATGACATACTTCATTATTTTTATAATTTAATAATTTGTAAAAAAAATAATTTGTAAAAACTATAGATATAAAATATATAATATATAATTGTAAAATATTATATAATATATAATTTGTAAAAAAAGTCGGATAAAATTTTCACAAGTAAAATGTTTTATAATTAGGAACGTTCTGCATTACTTTATCAGACTTTTTTTACGAATTATTGGCAATGTGCACCATTTCTGGTAGCAGCCAGAGATAAATAGCCAGATCAACATTTATTGCTAAGGACCTTTTTTTGACCGCCGCGGTAAAGATGGCTTCCGGACATGCTCTGCAATATTAATGGCCAATTTGTTTTTGAGTTTATTAAAATAATAACATATATTGCGTGATACCAGTTTGTTAGTTTGAACCGTTTTATGTCACTTGGAACTTGCTTGCATCAGCCTATTTGTTTAAGGAAGCTTTGTAGTGAATTTTTGATTAAGTAGTTATTAAATAGTTGGTATTTATGGACTGCTTATGAATTATCGTGAAACTAAACTCCTGATTGATTTAACAGCGTTGCAACTATATACTTACATTAGTTGATGGATACACTTATTACATATGTACAACCTAGCATGATCTGTCAACAACAAAAGAGAAAACTAATACTTAGTGACTCTAAGCGAGCTGTTGCTGATCTTTCATACTAAAAAACATATATTTTTCTTATAAATTGGGTCAATAATTTTTTAATATATATTCATCCTGTTGTTTTATTCTAATAATTGTCTACCGAAACACAAAAAGAAAACATATTTCGAGCCAGAAAAAGTGTGTCAACAGTCTTCTTGAAAAGAAAAGAAAAAAGAAATAAGTTTGACTTGTTAATTTATAATATATTTTATAGTATAAATATTTATTTAAAAACTTTTACTATTATTATTTAGAAATTTTACTATATTTTATAATATAAATATTTAATACCTTATCTCTTATTATAAATTTCAAAAGTGTTACATTCTTTACTTTGAAAATACTATTACATTCTTTACTTTTCACCAAAATACTCACATACAGTGTTGCTCTCACTAGTATATAAAATCTAATATTATATATTTTTTTTAGTCTATATAAACTAAAATTTGAACCCAAATATATCAATAAAAACTCTAATAAAATATTAATATAAAAGTCATAAATAAAAATAAAAATTCAGAAAATAGAAATAAAAATATAAAACTTATAAATAAAAAATATATATAAAACTCATAAATTAAAAATAAAAATAAAATACCTAATAAAAATACAAATGTACAATTAGCTCAACCAAATACCCATTTCTCATTATCATCATCCTAAATGCTGAAGTGAATAATATGGTTGTTAAGTCTCCTTGTGGTGTTTGTTATAAAACTGTAACATGCAATCAAAAAGCTATAAAATGTGACTCTTGCAATAAGTGGATACACACTAGGTGTAATAATGTTGATAGTAAATGCTACAACTCTTTGATGACTGAAACTGGCTATTGGTACTGTCTTAATTGCTTGGAAAACACTCTACCATACTCTTCTCTAACAGATAAGGATTTTAAGGTCACTATAAATGGTGCAAATACTTTTACTCATAATTTGTTTAATGACACTTCTTCTAACCTAAAAAATCTCTTTCAAAATAAACTTGACAATGACAATATTAATTGTAAATACTATGATACTACAGAGTATAACAAAGCTATTAGTATTAATTCACAAACCTATTTACATGTAAATATATCATCCCTGGCATATTACCTTGAGGATCTAAAACTTCTGCTTTCCCTTATGAATAATAAACCCAATATCATTGCTATATCTGAAACTCGCTTAAATCACGACAAAACACTTAGAACTGATATAAATTTAAATGACTATGTCTTTGAACGTACTGATACTCATTCTAATAAAGGAGGAACTATTATATATATTAGATCTGAATTAAATTATATCTTAAGACCTGACCTCAAAATTCAAAAAAAAAAAGAACTAGAATCAACCTTTATTGAAGTCTTACTGCCATCAGAAAAAAATATTATTGTAGGTTGCATTTATCGCCACCCTTGTATGAACACTAGTGAGTTCTTTATCACTTATATACAAACCCTACTTGACATGTTATCACTAGAGAATAAAAATATAATTCTTTTAGGAGACTTCAACATTAATCTTTTAAAATATGAATCTTGTAATGATGCTTCTAACTTTCTAAATCTGATGTACTCTTCCTCCCTCTTCCCATTAATTACTCTACCAACCAGAATTACTCCAAAATCAAAGACACTCATAGATAATATATTTGTAAACTTTCACACACCAAATACTAAATCAGGCAATCTAACAGTTTCGCTTGCTGACCATCTTATTCAGTTCATATCCTTTCCATGCAAGAACTTAAAACAGTCTCTTCCCAAAGTATATCGTAGATGTTTTAAAAATTTTAATGAAAAAAAGTTTCTTAAAAACTTAAAAGAAACTGATTGGCTCTCAATAAACCAACAAGGGAACTATTGTGTTAATAACTTTACCTCTAAGTTTTTGGATACACTTAGAAGATTACTTGATAATCATGCCCCTTTCAAAATGTCTACCAAAAAAGCTAATAAATCTTTATCGAAGCCATGGATTACCAAAGGAATCATTACGTCAATACAAATTAAAAATAAGTTGCACAAGAAGTTCATTAAATGTAAAAATGAGAATTTAAAGCTACAATACTTCCAAAAATTCAAATATTATAGAAATCAAATTAGTAACCTACTGCGATACTCAAAAAAAACATATTACTCAATCTACTTTAATGAAAATCTGAATAACCTTAGGAACACCTGGAAAGGAATAAGGAGTATTATTTCTACTAAATCAAAGAACAACAATAACATAGATAGTTTAAATATCAATAATAAAACTATAACTAACAAGGAAATAATTACAAACACATTTAATGATTACTTCTCATCAATTGCAAATAATCTTGCTAAAGAAATTATACTTCCTAGATTTCACTTCAGCCACTATCTAAAAAACCAAAATCCTGATTCTTTTTTTATATCCCCAGTTACTTCTCAAGAAATAAATGACTATATCTCACTCATGAATCCGAAAAAAAGCACTGGACCCAATAGCATTCCTTCAAAAATAATGACCTTAGCATCTCAAGAATTGAGTTTCCCCTTAAGTATTTTATTAAATCAATCTTTCCAATCAGGGATATTTCCTGACTTATTCAAAATTGCAGAAATTGTTCCAATTTTTAAAAGCGGCTGTAAACAAGATCCTTGTAACTATCGGCCTATATCCTTACTCTCAAATGTAGGTAAACTAATTGAAAAGCTTATGTATAACAGGCTACTAAGTTTTTTAAATCTATCAGATAGCTTATATAGTTTGCAATTTGGATTCCGAAAGAAACACTCCACTAACCAAGCACTCATAGATATAACTGAAACCATACGTGAGGCTTTAGATCATAAACAGTTTGCTGGTGGAGTGTTTGTTGATTTGCAAAAAGCATTTGATACTGTCGACCATGAAATCCTATTATCAAAGCTGTATCATTATGGTGTAAGGGGAATTGCTCTGAAATGGTTTAAGTCATATCTAAATCGTCGTCCTCAAAGTGTTACTATTGGTAATATCTCATCCACTACTAAGTTTACGTATATAGGGGTTCCTCAGGGTTCAACTCTGGGTCCCCTTCTTTTCCTTATCTACATAAATGATTTAAATACTTGTATTAAGTACTCGAAAGTGTATCATTTTGCTGATGACACTAACCATCTAATTGTAGATAAGTCTTTAAAAAAACTAAATAAGTACCTAAATTATGACTTGGCATCACTGGTCCAATGGTTACGATCAAACAAAATATCTCTGAATGTCAAAAAAACTGAATTAGTCCTATTTAAACCTCGAGGCAAAAAAATTATCAAAAAACTTAATTTTAGAATTAGTGGTCAAAAACTAAATATTGTAGATAAAATAAAATATCTAGGCATATTGTTAGATGAAAATCTCTTGTTCATTCAACAAATTAAATCCATAGCAAACAAACTAAGTCGAGCAAATGGAATGCTTACCAAAATAAGGCATTTTGTGAATTATGAAACCCTTGTGAATATTTGGCATGCTATTTTTAACTCCCATCTACGCTATGGTTGTCAGATATGGGGACAAACTTCATCCATGTATAAAAAAAACCTTATAAATCTCCAAAATAAATCATTAAGAATAATTCACTTTCAACCTAACAGTTTTAGTTCTGACCCACTATATAATCTTTCTAAAATTTTAAAGCTTGATGAACTTATCTACTTATCAAACTGTGTACTTGTATGGGACATTGTCCACAATAATATGCCCAGCTGCTTCACTAGCTATTTTAAATTTACAAATGATATTCATAGTTATAATCTTAGGTCTGTATCTTATTGTAGTCTCTCTAAGCCTTTAAAACTAACACATAAGTATGGCATAAAATCAATCAAGTATCAATCAATTCACTGTTGGAACTCTCTTCCTGTTGAAACTAAAATAGTATTATCCAAAATGACAAATAGAAATGCCTTCATAACCCATGTAAAAAAGTTTCTCCTCAATAAAGATAATCAATGAACTATCATTTATGCTATCACCCCCTAGTCATTCTTTGTGGCTGAATTTTTAATAAAATAAAAGTATAAAAACTCATAAATAAATTTATAAAACCCATAAAATAGAAATAAAAATATAAAACTCATAAAATTAAAATAAAAATATAAAACTCTAAAAATAAAAAAAAAAATACAAAACTCTAAAAGTAAAACACAAAAATATATAAATGTTCATCTAGTCGCAATCAAATACCTTATTTTCATCATCCCATATAGTGTATATGGCTCTTAAAGATTGTGGCATTGTTATTAAACTATCTAACATTTAATAAATACACAATAAACTATTTCCTATGCAATTGCCCCTGCTTAATTCTCTTCAACAATTTTTTTTTTTTTTTTTTTTTTTTTTTTTTTTTTTTTTTTTTTTTTTTTTTTTTTTATTCTTTCCTACTTTTTATCTGTCCTATATTTTGTTATTGATATTATTAAGATTCTTATATTTTTATTTTGCTTTATTATTAAGGATAATCACTATTTGCTATAAATGTTTTATTTTGATTATAGTAGTAAAATATATATTGATTATAGTGTTTTATATTACTGCATTAATATTATTATTAATATTATTATTAATATTTATTTCTATTATTATTAATAATATTTATTATTGTTATTTATTATTATTATTATTATTTTATTATGTTATTATTTATACCATTATAGGTCTTTACACGTCATCAGTTTATAACTGTTTGTAAATGTCCCGCACAATTGTATATATATACAGTATTATTAAAGTGAAAATATATTGATTGATTGATTGATTGATTGACTAAGTTGATTGATAATTTTATTAGCTTCACAATATTCATTTACAAGTACATTGCACAATTTAAACTACATCTAACATACCAGCAAAGTCTTCAAAAATCTATCAAATGCGATTTCAGTAAATGAATTGCTAATCATTAAATACAACAAGGTTAAAAACATAAACTTTTTGTTAACAATTGAATCCAATAAAGAACATTCAAATGGATTAGAACTAAAGAACTGAAACATGGAAGCACTCGATTCTTCCTCAGATACTAGAATTTGATTTTCTTCCTCAGATACTATAGATACAATTTCTTCTGTCTCTTGGGTAAAACTACCATCATTAACATTATCATCTGTATTGCTACAGTCGGACTGAGAACTACTATTAGTAATTTCCTCTTCAGAAGAAGTAGACTCAGCCGTAAAATGTAAAGTTCTTCTCTCGCACTTTCTATTAAAAAAATTTCGTTTCATTGCACATATATTCACCATTAATAAAATTTTATGAGTCTTTACTTATAAATAACTATGTTATTTTTGCACGGGTATCTTGTGTGGCCAGACAGGTTTGCTGGGCTCATGCAAGCCATGTCTAACGTGCGCCGAAGAAACCTGCCTGGCCGCACTTACACTGCAGTATAAAGTCCAATGAAAGCATGCTTGTAACTTCAGTTACAATCATAAAATCGATTACCTAATATTAGTTGCAATAATATTGCAATAATATTACAATTATATTGCAATTATATTGCAATTATATTGTAATATTTTAACAACAATCTTGCTACTGCTTATAAACCCATTAAATTTATGTAAAACAAAAAAATGACACAGGCAATTAGATAAGCATTAGAATTATTTATATTTAAATGCATCTAAATTACATTTACAAACACATTACATTTGTATAATTTTATTGATATTTTATTGGACAATTAATTGAGCAATATATAGCAATTTAAATTGAACGCGCAATAATATTGCAATATGTTGTAATAAACCGCAATATATGTCGATTAGTGTACTAACAGTTCCTTTTGAATGATGTATCTTTCTTTCGTTTAAGGCAATGTTAACAAACTACTCTTTTAGAGCCAGGATTATGGCTCACATTTTTCTCATCATAGTTGAATATATTAACTTGAATTTATTAATGGGATATAATTAAAAAACGGTAATAATTTTGTAGGGTCACAATTCCGTTAAATCCTGAGATAAAAACTTAATTTAATAAAGAATCGTTGCTTCTTACACTTTCTAATCGGACTCAGAAAGGTGCTGTACAAGAGATTTTTTCATTTTTGAAAGACTTTATTCTGTTGCGCAATTTCTCAAGATTATTAGCTTTCCCATTATTCTCATACAATTTTTTTTTTTGAAAATAATCCATAAATCTTCAATCGGACGGCATTCTGGCACATTTGCAGAGTTATCTTCTCTTTTGACAAAAATGATCTTTTTCTCATTCATGAAGTTTTTTACAAATTTTACATAATGAGACAATGCCAGATAAGGCCAAAGAATGCATTCATCGTCAGAACGATGTTTTTTTATAATAGAATTAGTTTGTTCATGATGCAATCATTTTTGTAGACTTCTTGGTCTACAAAAACGATTGCAAATCCAAACGAGTATTTTCTTTTCATCTTTTTCGAGCTGTCTCTATTTTGTCACAAGTTGTTAATGGAAAAAAAAAAGTTGTTAATCTTCTTCTTCTTTTTAAGAAGAACCCGATTAAGTAATTTGTTTTTAATGTTTTGTTGATATATACTTGGGTGCACTTAAATTTCAGAGCTGCTTGTATTTGCAATATGCCGTCTTAGTGGTCAAGCATTGTTTTAAGTCTTTCGATGTTCCTTTTTGTCATTATTTTAGCAATCCTATTATATCCAGGGACTCTCTGGTGCCCAGAATTATTTTTAGCGCGTTGAATAACGGTATAGAGGGTGTTAATAGGGTATTTTTTTAGCAAGAAAATGATCAACTGTAAACTTTTTCCCTTTAGATTGATTTTTCAAATAAATGCTGTACACACACACTAACAATTATAAAAATTTAAATAGTTTTTCACTAGCAGATCTATATCTATACTATCTAAAGGTAGTATGTGATTGGGAGTAACCAAAAACGAGTGGTATATACCAGTAGTATTATAACTGGAAAATTCCACGTGTTGGAATATACCACTTGTTATACAACGGTACTGTCCTACGGTATTGATAAAAATAAACTTTTTGATTCTTTGGCGGTATAGTTTCAATAAAAAATTATTATTTGGTGATTTTTCATTTATTCATTTTGCTAATAAATATTTATTCTTCTCGCGGTTTTATTTATCATAAGGATAACGCATTAGGTGGTAATAAGCTGAACTTTAAAAATAAATAATAAAGAAAAAAAAAATTGTTATTAAAAACGCTTTAACGGTCAGGCCCGGCGCAAGTAGGTGTCACGTGGGGGTGAGGGGGGGAGGATGGCATTACATTTTTGCCGACTAAAAAAAAAAAAAAAAGTCCTCGTTTTCCAAAATTTGCCGACTGCCATGACGACATTTGCCGACTGTCTAGATTACCGACTAACCTATATCGAAAGGGTCGACATTTGCCGACTAAAAGGGTTTAATTTGCCGACTAAGGGTACAATTTGCCGACTAAAAATCATTGATTGGGGGGGGGGGGTCACACACCCCTATCGCGCCGGCCTAGTTGACGGTACTCATACCTCCGTCTTTCATTTAATAAAAAATTGTCTGCACAATTCCGAAAACCGAAGGTGTTGCTAGTTCATCGTCAGCAGCACTATCCCTTCAATCAAAATCTGAAAAACTTAAAGTGGTACTAGGTTAAATTATGACATTGGACTCTATTTAAAATGTACTACGAAATTTTCTATTAAACTTAAGTATTGTTTGCAATCTGATCCTTACCAGCATCATCAGCCCTACGATTTCAAAGGTGACATTTCTAAATACCTAGTATACGGTATGGTTATCATATTTACCTAGACAAAATGGTGCTTTGGGTATTTTGAGCTTTATTTCTACAACCAGTTTAAAGAAAAATTAAAGTGATTTCATTATTAATCCTCTCACAAAACTATACCAGCTCATCATATCATCGTGGGGCTCAGCGAGATGCTAATCATTTAGCATCACAATAAGAGATCTAAATAAAAAAGTTCTTTGTCAGAAGGATGATTCAGTAAAACAAATTATTGAAAACAAAGAAAAAAGCTGTATTTTAATATTTTTTCAATCTTATCTTTTCTATTACTTTTACTATCAATCTTTTGCATAACAATTGACTAGGTATCACGCGAGAAATATAATAACAAAGCAAAAGTTTAACAACGCTATGAGTATAAAATTGAGAGAGGAGACGGTATTTTAAAAAATATCACTGATACAACTGCTGAAAATATCCGTCATACATCACATCGAACGCAGAATGATTTATTCAACTTGTCTGAACATGTTCTAGGAGAAGATATTGTAAAAGCTGCCAACGCTGCTGTTGGATTCTCAAGTCGGTGAAACAGCAGATATTTTAGAAACTGAACAATTATCACTGCGAGGTTTTTTAATAGGTATATTGAAAAGTTTATGATTCATGAGGAATTTCTTGGATTTTTACCGCTGAAAGATATGGACGCTGCCACGACATCTGATTATATCATTCAAAATCGAAAAACATTTGGCCTTAGCAAAGGTTCACAATGAAAACCAAAAATTGTTTGCTTGCTCTGTCTGAAAAAATGTTTAAGACAGCTTACTGCTTTCCAAATAGATCGAATATGCCAATGGTACGAGACAAAGATCATTATCAGCGATTCTCTAGTACCACAAAGACTCTGCAAATCGTGTAAAACAATTTTGCGCAGGAAACACGAGAGAGAAGAAGTTATACTCCCTCCTTTGTTTAATTTCAATTCAATACAAGGGAGACCTGAAACAAGAGTATTTCCAGGATTCTGTACAAATTGTTTAATCCAAAATCCCAGGGTTAGTCTCCAAAATTTACAAAATTTCGTCATAAAAAGAGTAAAAGTACAAAAGGTTTAAGCTTAGTTTGTAATTAAAAAAATTTTACATCGTAATATGTAAATATAGGCTTCGGTACAGTAGCTGTTTGAGGTTTTAGTCATTTATTCTGTTTGCAATATTTTCTTTTTATTCTCTTTCGGTATTTTATTGAAAATACAAACTAAAAATATTATTGCTTATCATTAGCATATAAAAAATCAAAATACAGAAGGTTTATGAAATTAAAAAAGTTTACATAATGTCCGTTTAATTAATGAAATTATCCAAATACAAGGTTTATTAAATAAACTTTAGTTAACGTTAATTAAAGTAGAAATTGCTTTGTGATTCAAATGATTCATTGTTGATTAATAAAATATCTGAAATTAAAATTAAGCATCAAATTATTGCCCTTTATAACAAAAGTCAGAAAAATTATTAAAATGCTTAAAAGTCCCCAAACAAATATTATGGCCTTTATGAAAAAGGATATTATGTACTACAATAAATATTATAATATAAATTTATATTTGGATAATCAATGTAAACTGATTTTAAAGAGAATTTAATAGTAATTAAAAATATAAGGTTTTAATGAATAAGTGCAAATATTAATACAAATAGCCCGTCGCTGTGATCATAAAAGATAGAGTAAGTCGTAACATAGTGGGGAAAAGGGAACTTTTCCCTGTGATTTATAATCCAATCATGAATGAATTTTTCTTTTTTTTTTTCTATTTTAATAATTTTAAGGTGTTTAATGTGTATTAATTCTTTTAAAACTTAATTAGCAGCCGTAGCGCAGTGGTAGCACAATTGTCTCAGAAACGTAAGATCCGTGGTTCAAACCCCACCTCTAGGCAAGTTTTGCGACATCGGTTGGGAAGGAGGCGTGAACTTCCTATTAAATGCTCTTCCGCGGTGCTGTGTGATAAACCGTAAGGACTTCTTGGAGCACCTTAATCAACTAAAAAAAAAAAAAAAAAATGAAAATTGTTTTTAAAAGTTCTTAAAAGTTGAGTTTAGAAAGGTCATCCATTTAATAATGGGTTGCAAAACCCATGATTAAATTTATGATTTTTTAATTTTAACTTCACAAATCGGTCTAGCATAAGCAGCTTGTTGCTTATGCTAGACCGATTTGTGAAGTTAAAGTTAAAAAAAAATTGTGTTAAAAAAAGGCACTTTTACATTTAGAATTCCAATATTGATGATTTAATTAAGATGAACGAAAAGGAACGTAGAAATCTGATTTAATAGTACTTTTTACTCCCGTTAAAATAATTGTGATAGCACTTT